TTTGGGTTCTTAAGGTAGGGTTTTAAGGTTTGCGGCGTGGTAAGGCTCAGGGTTTAGTTTAGCCACCGGAAAGCCCAACAAGCTCAAAGCCCTTAAACCCTCAAGCCTCTAACGTCTGAAGTGCTATGTGCCAGGCTCGTAGGCTCCTGTTGGATAAAACTGAAAAACTGAAACCCCGAAACTGAATCCGCAAACCGCCGAAACTCAGACCACCTGACGAAGCTCTGGCACCCGATGGAGTCTCGACCCGTTAGTTGAAAGTAGAGCTTCTGGTTTAGGTGTCGCAGCGTTCGGGGTCACCGGTTCAGAGCATGTTTTTACTGCAGTCTAACATGATGTGAGAGTCTTACATGGCTTTAGGCTTTGAGGTCTCACGGCTGAGGTGTCAAGACGCAGGGCTCACGATGCCTCTAGCTGCGGCTATGATTACTTGTGCCTATAGTCACTATAGTCCCCTCCTTGCACGGGCATTGAATTCAGGGATCCCAAGATAAATGCCAAAATCCTTTCTATTCTTGTCTTTTGGCTGAGAGTCGAAAAACAACTCCTGAACCTTCAACATGGCCCTTGCTGTGTTGTCATGTTGTCATCCAATTAGCCTCCACAAGACGCGACCACTGCGATGCCAAACGCCTGCGTGCGTAAGTTTAGGGCTTAAGTGGGCTAGGCCTTGGGGACATTCTGGCAGTCAGCAGCATTTGAAGGCTCACTGGGTAGAGAAAAGTCTGCTGCAAGGAACTACAAACTTATGCGTGTGCATAATATATATATATATATACACACATATACATATATATATATATGTCTTATAGTTATACGGAATATGTGTGTATATATATATATCCATATATATATATATATGTAAATGGACACCAAAAAGTCCCGAAGCCCAATGACTAAGCCCCACACCCCTAAAACCCAACACCGCAGCCGGATTCGGGGTCCCTGGGCTAAGGATATGCCGCAGACACGCCTCCCTGAGCTGAAGAACACTCCTGACAATCGGTTTAGGGTTTAGGGTTCTGGTGCTCAACACACGAAACCACAAAAGCCCGAAACGCAAAACCCCAAAACCCGACCCGGAAATCCATAATTAATTACCCCTGATCCCCAACCCCAACTCCCATACCCTGAAATCCACACCTCCCAGCGCCCCTGAACTCTAAACCCTGAAACCCTAAGACCCTAAACCCTAAACCCGAAGGCCCGAAGCCCTAAACCCCCAAACCCCCCCATGGCGCGCCTCATCGCGCCGCCCAGCTGAGCCTTCGCCCGGCCGCGGTCCCGCAAAAGCAGCAGGAGCCGGAAGAGCAAATACCTGGGCTTCACTGTTAGATTGGGCTTAGGGGGTTTAGGGGTTTAGG